ATTAGTAGTAGTAGTAGTAGTGTTAATAGTAGCAGTAGCAGCAGTAGTAGTAGTAGTAGTAGTAGTGTTAATAGTAGCAGCAGCAGTAGCAGCAGCAGTAGTAGTAGTAGTGTTAATAGTAGCAGCAGTAGCAGTAGCAGTAGTAGTAGTAGTATTAGTAGTAGTAGTAGTAGTAGTAGTAGTAGTGGTAGTAGTAGTGTTAATAGCAGCAGTAGCAGCAGTAGTAGTAGTAGTAGTATTAGTAGTAGTAGTAGTTGTAGTAGTGTTAATATTAGCAGCAGCAGCAGTAGTAGTAGTAGTAGTGTTAATAGTAGCAGCAGCAGCAGTAGCAGCAGCAGCAGTAGTAGTAGTAGTAGTTAATAGCAGCAGCAGCAGCAGCAGTAGTAGTAGTAGTAGTAGTAGTAGCAACAGTAGAGGTATTGTGTCATATTTGCTGCTACATCTTCACCTGTCTTTTTCAGTTGAATGTGTACGTCATAAGTGACCTGCTGGAGGAAGTATCGGACGTCGTGTTGAAGATTGACCTTTATCGATATGATCAAAGACACGAAGTCGCTTCTTACAACACATCTTTGACTGTGGTAAGTTGTAAAATGTCTCTATATATTTCGGTCGTTGCGAGGCAGGAGAAACGTAACCTCGTTTTACATAACCCCAGTCAGTCCTCTGTATGTAATAAAAAGAAGTTCAAGTCCAGTATATATTTCTTAGGCAGATAAATATTACCTTCTGAGATAACTTTCCTTTATTTCTACTGTTGCTAAATTTGCAACGTTGCACAGCTCCTGATAACGCACTGAGAAGTGTGGAAGTACCTGAGCTAAAGATTTCCACTCACCGTGGCTTGTCTTGCACACACACACAAACATTATATATACATTATATATATATATATATATATATATATATATAATATATAATATATATATATTATATATATATAATATATATATATATATATATATATATATATATATATATATATATATATATATATATATATATATATATATATATATATATATATATATATATATATATATATATATATATATATATATATATATATATATATATTAATATTAACAAGTCGGCCGTCTCCAACCGAGGCAGGGTGACCCAAAAAATAAAGAAAATCCCCAAAAAGAAAATACTTTCATCATTCAACACTTTCACCACACTCACACATAATCACTGTTTTTACAGAGGTGCTCATAACACAACAGTTTAGAAGCATATACCTATATAGATACACAACATATCCCTCCAAACTGCCAATATCCCGAACCCCTCCTTTAGAGTGCAGGTATTGTACTCCCCATTTCCAGGACTCAAGTCCGGTTATATAAAATAACAGGTTTCCCTGAATCCCTTCACTAAATATTACCCTGCTCACACTCCAACAGATCGTCATGTCCCAAATACCATTCACTCCTAACACGCTCACGCACGCTTGCTGGAAGTCCAAGCCCCTCGCCCACAAAACCTCCTTTACCCCCTCCCTCCAACCTTTTCGAGGACGAACCCTACCCCGCCTTTCTTCCCCTACAGATTTATATGCTCTCCATGTCAGTCTACTTTGATCCATTCTCTCTAAATGACCAAACCACCTCAACAACCCCTCTTCAGCCCTCTGACTAATACTTTTATTAACTCCACACATTCTCCTAATTTCCACACTCCGAATTTTCTGCATAATATTTACACCACACATTGCCCTTAGACAGGACATCTCCACTGCCTCCAACCGCCTCCTCGCTGCTGCATTCACAACCCAAGCTTCACACCCATATAAGAGTGTTGGTACTACTATACTTTCATACATTCCCTTCTTTGCCTCCATAGATAACGTTTTTTGTCTCCACATATACCTTAGTGCACCACTCACCTTTTTCCCCTCATCAATTCTATGATTAACCTCATCCTACATAAATCCATCCGCCGACACGTCAACTCCCAAGTATCTGAAAACATTCACTTCTTCCATACTCCTCCTCCCCAATTTGATATCCAATTTCTCTTTATCTAAATCATTTGATACCCTCATCACCTTACTCTTTTCTATGTTCACTTTCAACTTTCTACCTTTACACACGCACACCCAAACTCATCCACTAACCTTTGCAATTTTTCTTTAGAATCTTCCATAAGCACAGTATCATCAGCAAAAAGCAACTGTGTCAATTCCCATTTTGTATTTGATTCCCCATAATTTAATCCCACCCCTCTCCTGAATACCCTAGCATTTACTTCTTTTACAACCCCATCTATAAATATATTAAACAACCATGGTGACATTACACATCCCTGTCTAAGACTTACTTTTACTGGGAAGTAGTCTCCCACTCTTCTACACACCCTAACCTCAGCCTCACTATCCTCATAAAAACTCTTTAAAGCATTTAGTAACTTACTACCTATTCCATATACTTGCAACATCTGCCACATTACTCCCCTATCTACTCTATCATATGCCTTTTCTAAATCCATAAATGCAATAAAAACTTCCCTGTCTTTATCTAAATACTGTTCACATATATGCTTCAATGTAAACACTTGATCTACACATCCCCTACCTACTCTAAAACCTCCTTGCTCATCTTACCTCTAATTCTTTCAGTTATAACCCTACTGTACACTTTTCCTGGCATACTCAGTAAACTTATTCCTCTATAATTTTTAAAATCTCTTTTGTCCGCCTTGCCTTTATATAAAGAGACTATACATTCGTTCTGCCAATCCTTAGGTACCTTTCCCTCTTTCATACATTTATTAAACAAAAATACCAACCACTCTAACACTATATCCCCCCCTGCTCTTAACATTTCTGTCATGATTCCATCAGTTCCAGCTGCTTTACCCCTTTTCATTCTACGTAATGTCTCACGCACCTTCCCCACACTCACATCCTGTTCTTCTTCACTCCTAAAAGATGGCATACCTCCCTGGCCAGTGCATGAAATTACCACTTCCGTTTCTTTGTCGACATTTAAAAGTTCCTCAAAATATTCTCGCCATCTACCCAAAACCTCCATCTACCCATCTACTAACTCCCCTACTTTGTTTTTAACTGACAAATCCATTCGTTCCCTAGGCTTTGTTAACTTGTTCAACTCCAAATTTTTTTCTTATTTTCATTAAAATTCCTTGGCAGTGCCTCTCCCACTATCATCTGCTCTCCTTTTGCACTCTCTCACCACTCTCTTCATCTTTCTTTTACTCTCCATATACTCTGCTCTTCTTATAACACTTCTGCTTTGTAAAAACCTCTCATAAGCTAACTTTTTCTCTTTTATCACACCCTTTACTTCATCATTCCACCAATCATTCCTCATTCCTCCTGCCCCCACCCTCCTATAACCACAAACTTCTGCCCCACATTCTAATACTGCATTTTTAAAACTATTCCAACCCTCTTCAACCCCCACACTACTCATACTTGCACCAGCCCACCTTTCTGCCAATAGTTGCTTATATCTCACTCGAACTTCCTCCAACCTTAGTTTATACACTTTCACCTCCCTCTTGCTTGTTGTTGCCATTTTCCCCTTATCCCATCTACCTCTTACTCTAACTGTAGCTACAACTAAATAATGATCCGATATATCAGTTGCCCCTCTATAAACGTGTACATCCTGGAGCCTACCCATCAACCTTTTATCCACCAATACATAATCTAACAAACTACTTTCATTACGTGCTATATCATACCTTGTATATTTATTTATCCTCTTTTTCATAAAATATGTATTACTTATTACCAAACCTCTTTCTACACATAGATCAATTAAAGGATCCCCATTTTGATTTACCCCTGGCACCCCAAAATTACCTACTACTCCCTCTACAACATTTTTGCCCACTTTAGCATTGAAATCCCCAACCACCATTACTCTCACTCTTGGTTCAAAACTCCCCAAGCATTCACTCAACATTTCCCAAAATCTCTCTCTCTCCTCTGCACTTCTCTTTTCTCCAGGTGTATATACGCTTACTATAACCCACTTTTCACATCCAACCTTTATTTTACTCCACATAATCCTTGAATTAATATATTTGTATTCCCTCTTTTCTTGCCATAACTTATCCTTCAACATTATTGCTACTCCTTCTTTAGCTCTAACTCTATTTGAAACCCCTGACCTAATCCCATTTATTCCTCTCCACTGAAACTCTCCCACCCCCTTCAGCTTTGTTTCACTTAAAGCCAGGACATCCAGCTTCTTCTCATTCATAACATCCACAATCATCCCTTTCTTATCATTTGCACAACATCCACGCACATTCAGACTTCCCACTTTGACAATTTTCTTCTTCTTATTCTTTTTAGTAATTTTTTACAGGAAAAGGGGCTACTAGCCCATTGTTCCCGGCATTTTAGTTGACTTTTACAACACGCATGGCTTACGGAGGAAAGATTCTTATTCCACTTCCCCATGGATATAAAAGGAAAAGTAATAAGACCAAGAACTATTAAGATAAAATCATAGAAAACTCAGATGAGTGTGTATAAATAAACGTGTACATGTATGTGTAGTGTGACCTAAGTGTAAGTAGAAGTAGCAAGACGTACCTGTAATCTTGCATATTTATGAGACAGACAAAAGACACCAGCAATCCTACCATCATGTAAAACAATTACAGGCTTTCGTTTCACACTCACTTGGCAGGATGGTAGTACCTCCCTGGGCGGTTGCTCTGAAGACAAGTTAAATTGGCATTCTTTTATTATTACGGAGTGATTAATATCTTTAAATATACTAGCATCTTAAGTGTTTATCTGGTCAATATGACACTGAAACATTATGAGCGATGACAGGTTGAAGTTAATGAGATGAGGCGCTCGTAAGTTATCACATGAAAAACAGGATTTCAATAAGGTTTAAGTAAATAAGTAAAAAAGTAAGCAGGCAAGTAATTAAGTAAATAAGTAATTAGGAAATTTAGCAAGTAACTTAGTTTCATTTGAAATTAAGTATACAACATTGATTTTTTTACAGTGCTTAAGAGTAAACAGATGTATGGTTATATTAAAAGTAAACAGATGTATGGTTATATTAAAAGTAAACAGATGTATGGTTATATCAAAAGTAAACAGACGTATGGCTATATTAAAAGTAAACAGATGTATGGTTATATTAAAAGTAAACAGATGTATGGTTATATCAAAAGTAAACAGACGTATGGCTATATTAAAAGTAAACAGATGAATGGTTATATTAAAAGTAAACAGATGTATGGTTATATTAAAAGTAAACAGATGTATGGTTATATTAAAAGTAAACAGATGTTAGGTTATATTAAAAGTAAACACATATTAGGTTATAATAAAAGTAAACAGATGTTAGGTTAAATTAAAAGTAAACAGATGTTAGGTTATATTAAAAGTAAACACATGTTAGGTTATATTAAAAGTAAACAGATGTTAGGTTATATTAAAAGTAAACACATGTTAGGTTATATTAAAAGTAAACACATGTTAGGTTATATTAAAAGTAAACACATGTTAGGTTATATTAAAAGTAAACACATGTTAGGTTATATTAAAAGTAAACAGATATTAGGTTATATTAAAAGTAAACAGATGTTAGGTTATATTAAAAGTAAACACATGTTAGGTTATATTAAAAGTAAACAGATGTTAGGTTATATTAAAAGTAAACACATGTTAGGTTATATTAAAAGTATCTTCACAGAAATCAATTTTTTTAATATAATGGCACATGAAAATTTACACAACTGAGAATGAAATCGAAACTTCCATTAAGAAAATGCATTCATCAGGTGATGCATTCATCAGGTGATGCATTCATCAGGTGATGCATTCATCAGGTGATGCATTCATCAGGTGATGCATTCATCAGGTGATGCATTCATCAGGTGATGCATTCATCAGGTGATGCATTCATCAGGTGATACATTCATCAGGTGATACATTCATCAGGTGATACATTCATCAGGTGATACATTCATCAGATGATACATTCATGATACAAGACCAAAATCCTAAAATGACTCACGAAATCGTAATAAAATGTTTGAAAACAAACCAGCTGACCCAGTGGCTTACGCACTGACCAGTAGTTGTAAGACTCAACCAGCTGGCCCAGTGGCTTACGCACTGACCAGTAGTTGTAAGACTCAACCAGCTGGCCCAGTGGCTTACGCACTGACCAGTAGTTGTAAACTCAACCAGCTGACCCAGTGGCTTACGCACTGACCAGTAGTTGTAAGACTCAACCAGCTGACCCAGTGGCTTACGCACTGACCAGTAGTTGTAAGACTCAACCAGCTGGCCCAGTGGCTTACGCACTGACCAGTAGTTGTAAGACTCAACCAGCTGACCCAGTGGCTTACGTACTGACCAGTAGTTGTAAGACTCAACCAGCTGACCAGTGGCTTACGCACTGACCAGTAGTTGTAAGACTCAACCAGCTGACCCAGTGGCTTACGCACTGACCAGTAGTTGTAAGACTCAACCAGCTGGCCCAGTGGCTTACGCACTGACCAGTAGTTGTAAGACTCAACCAGCTGACCCAGTGGCTTACGCACTGACCAGTAGTTGTAAGACTCAACCAGCTGGCCCAGTGGCTTACGCACTGACCAGTAGTTGTAAGACTCAACCAGCTGACCCAGTGGCTTACGCACTGACCAGTAGTTGTAAGACTCAACCAGCTGGCCCAGTGGCTTACGCACTGACCAGTAGTTGTAAGACTCAACCAGCTGGCCCAGTGGCTTACGCACTGACCAGTAGTTGTAAGACTCAACCAGCTGACCCAGTGGCTTACGCACTGACCAGTAGTTGTAAGACTCAACCAGCTGGCCCAGTGGCTTACGCACTGACCAGTAGTTGTAAGACTCAACCAGCTGGCCCAGTGGCTTACGCACTGACCAGTAGTTGTAAGACTCAACCAGCTGGCCCAGTGGCTTACGCACTGACCAGTAGTTGTAAGACTCAACCAGCTGGCCCAGTGGCTTACGCACTGACCAGTAGTTGTAAGACTCAACCAGCTGACCCAGTGGCTTACGCACTGACCAGTAGTTGTAAGACTCAACCAGCTGGCCCAGTGGCTTACGCACTGACCAGTAGTTGTAAGACTCAACCAGCTGGCCCAGTGGCTTACGCACTGACCAGTAGTTGTAAGACTCAACCAGCTGACCCAGTGGCTTACGCACTGACCAGTAGTTGTAAGACTCAACCAGCTGGCCCAGTGGCTTACGCACTGACCAGTAGTTGTAAGACTCAACCAGCTGGCCCAGTGGCTTACGCACTGACCAGTAGTTGTAAGACTCAACCAGCTGACCCAGTGGCTTACGCACTGACCAGTAGTTGTAAGACTCAACCAGCTGACCCAATGGCTTACGCACTGACCAGTAGTTGTAAGACTCAACCAGCTGGCCAGTGGCTTACGCACTGACCAGTAGTTGTAAGACTCAACCAGCTGACGCAGTGGCTTACGCACTGACCAGGAGTTGTAAGACTCAACCAGCTAACACAGTGGCTTACGCACTGACCAGTAGTTGTAAGACTCAACCAGCTGACGCAGTGGCTTACGCACTGACCAGGAGTTGTAAGACTCAACCAGCTGACGCAGTGGCTTACGCACTGACCAGTAGTTGTAAGACTCAACCAGCTGACGCAGTGGCTTACGCACTGACCAGTAGTTGTAAGACTCAACCAGCTGACGCAGTGGCTTACGCACTGACCAGTAGTTGTAAGACTCAACCAGCTGGCCCAGTGGCTTACGCACTGACCAGTAGTTGTAAGACTCAACCAGCTGACCCAGTGGCTTACGCACTGACCAGTAGTTGTAAGACTCAACCAGCTGACCCAGTGGCTTACGCACTGACCAGTAGTTGTAAGACTCAACCAGCTGGCCCAGTGGCTTACGCACTGACCAGTAGTTGTAAGACTCAACCAGCTGACGCAGTGGCTTACGCACTGACCAGTAGTTGTAAGACTCAACCAGCTGGCCCAGTGGCTTACGCACTGACCAGTAGTTGTAAGACTCAACCAGCTGACCCAGTGGCTTACGCACTGACCAGTAGTTGTAAGACTCAACCAGCTGACCCAGTGGCTTACGCACTGACCAGTAGTTGTAAGACTCAACCAGCTGACCCAGTGGCTTACGCACTGACCAGTAGTTGTAAGACTCAACCAGCTGGCCCAGTGGCTTACGCACTGACCAGTAGTTGTAAGACTCAACCAGCTGACCCAGTGGCTTACGCACTGACCAGTAGTTGTAAGACTCAACCAGCTGACCCAGTGGCTTACGCACTGACCAGTAGTTGTAAGACTCAACCAGCTGGCCCAGTGGCTTACGCACTGACCAGTAGTTGTAAGACTCAACCAGCTGGCCCAGTGGCTTACGCACTGACCAGTAGTTGTAAGACTCAACCAGCTGGCCCAGTGGCTTACGCACTGACCAGTAGTTGTAAGACTCAACCAGCTGGCCCAGTGGCTTACGCACTGACCAGTAGTTGTAAGACTCAACCAGCTGACCCAGTGGCTTACGCACTGACCAGTAGTTGTAAGACTCAACCAGCTGACCCAGTGGCTTACGCACTGACCAGTAGTTGTAAGACTCAACCAGCTGGCCCAGTGGCTTACGCACTGACCAGTAGTTGTAAGACTCAACCAGCTGGCCCAGTGGCTTACGCACTGACCAGTAGTTGTAAGACTCAACCAGCTGGCCCAGTGGCTTACGCACTGACCAGTAGTTGTAAGACTCAACCAGCTGGCCCAGTGGCTTACGCACTGACCAGTAGTTGTAAGACTCAACCAGCTGGCCCAGTGGCTTACGCACTGACCAGTAGTTGTAAGACTCAACCAGCTGACGCAGTGGCTTACGCACTGACCAGTAGTTGTAAGACTCAACCAGCTGGCCCAGTGGCTTACGCACTGACCAGTAGTTGTAAGACTCAACCAGCTGGCCCAGTGGCTTACGCACTGACCAGTAGTTGTAAGACTCAACCAGCTGGCCCAGTGGCTTACGCACTGACCAGTAGTTGTAAGACTCAACCAGCTGGCCCAGTGGCTTACGCACTGACCAGTAGTTGTAAGACTCAACCAGCTGGCACAGTGGCTTACGCACTGACCAGGAGTTGTAAGACTCAACCAGCTGGCCCAGTGGCTTACGCACTGACCAGTAGTTGTAAGACTCAACCAGCTGGCCCAGTGGCTTACGCACTGACCAGTAGTTGTAAGACTCAACGAGCTGACGCAGTGGCTTACGCACTGACCAGTAGTTGTAAGACTCAACCAGCTGGCCCAGTGGCTTACGCACTGACCAGTAGTTGTAAGACTCAACCAGCTGACCCAGTGGCTTACGCACTGACCAGTAGTTGTAAGACTCAACCAGCTGGCCCAGTGGCTTACGCACTGACCAGTAGTTGTAAGACTCAACCAGCTGACCCAGTGGCTTACGCACTGACCAGTAGTTGTAAGACTCAACCAGCTGACCCAGTGGCTTACGCACTGACCAGTAGTTGTAAGACTCAACCAGCTGACCCAGTGGCTTACGCACTGACCAGTAGTTGTAAGACTCAACCAGCTGACCCAGTGGCTTACGCACTGACCAGTAGTTGTAAGACTCAACCTGCTGGCCCAGTGGCTTACGCACTGACCAGTAGTTGTAAGACTAACCAGCTGACCCAGTGGCTTACGCACTGACCAGTAGTTGTAAGACTCAACCAGCTGACCCAGTGGCTTACGCACTGACCAGTAGTTGTAAGACTCAACCTGCTGGCCCAGTGGCTTACGCACTGACCAGTAGTTGTAAGACTCAACCAGCTGGCCCAGTAGCTTACGCGCTGACAAGTAGTTGTAAGACTCAACCAGATGACCCAGTGGCTTACGTACTGACCAGTAGTTGTAAGACTCAACCAGCTGACCCAGTGGCTTACGTACTGACCAGTAGTTGTAAGACTCAACCAGCTGGCCCAGTAGCTTACGCGCTGACAAGTAGTTGTAAGACTAACCAGCTGGCCCAGTGGCTTACGTACTGACCAGTAGTTGTAAGACTAACCAGCTGGTCCAGTGGCTTACGTACTGACCAGTAGTAGTAAGACTAACCAGCTGGCCCAGTGGCTTACGTACTGACCAGTAGTTGTAAGACTCAACCAGCTGACCCAGTGGCTTACGCACTGACCAGTAGTTGTAAGACTCAACCAGCTAACACAGTGGCTTACGCACTGACCAGTAGTTGTAAGACTCAACCTGCTGGCCCAGTGGCTTACGCACTGACCAGTAGTTGTAAGACTCAACCAGCTGGCCCAGTGGCTTACGT